TTAACTTACTAAAACTCCCTTATATCTTTTATTACCGAAAAGAGTTTTAGCTCTTTTATCCCCGGGAAGTCTATTAAGGGTTAGAGATCTGCATACCCGCATGCAGATATTGCAGCACCCTGACCTCCGACCCTCACGTGCCTTCCGGAGTAATTTTCACGTTTCACAATATTAAATATAATATTATTTACTTACTTAAGAATTGCATTTTCTAAAGAAAGAGCTTTACCATCACAGTTTATATTAGTATGACTTGCTTCTGCTATATTTGTATTATCAGGTGCTTTATTCTATATTTCTGTATCCATATGTGAAAATAATAAATTTAAAGAGGCTTTTATTCATGATGTATTATAAAATGAAACCCAATCTAAAAATTTAATTATTAATTGTTATATGAGCTATATATATTATATAAATTATAAATTATTAATATACTGTATAATTACTATTAATATTTAATTTATCAGATGCTTTTAATTCATCAAATATTTCATCAACACGTTTAAATGTATTAGCTTCGAGTAATTCATACATAAGTTCTTTATTTTTAGAAGAATAATAATTATTTTTAATATTTCTAAATAAAAAAAATAAGATAATTATTAAATTAATTAATAAAAATAAGACAATTAATTAAAATAAGACAATTAATTAAAATTTTACCTGCAATAATGAATATGGCAACTTTTAAATATATAACAAAGATGCTCATCCCAAGATAAATTTTTATCAATGCTATGTAAAGCTTCACCTAAGCCTTTTGCTTGTGAATTATCAAGATCTCCAATAATATATTTCCAGCCAGTTTTATATATATGATAAAATTGTGGTGATTGGCCAGTTAATTTTAATATCTAATTAAATAAAGAATTAAACATTCGATAATAAGCTTTACTATTCATGATATTTGTAAATACTCTTGCATATGTTAAAGCTATAAAATTAATTAAATTAAATTAATAATAATTTAAAATTTTAATTTTAAAAATAAAACTTATTTAATTTATATTTTTCATTATAGCAGTTTACTTCAAATTCATTTATTTCACCAGAAACTATCTTAAAAGCCAAATTAATTTCAAAATACTCCAAATCAATTCATGCTTTAGCTTGTAATTCTGATATACAAATAATTATTAATTGACTATTTGAAAAAGTTGCTAAAAATTAATATAATAAATAATTATTATAATAAATAAATAAATAATAAATATAAAATAAATATATATATATATTATATTAAATTATATACCTGATTGTTGTACATAATCTAAATATTTTTCATTTTTTTTTCCAAATATTGTATGTTAAACTAAGAAGTCCTTGACCAAATGGATGATGAGTTTTTTGAACTTTTGATACAAGTCTTCTTAATTTATCAATATTATTGAGTGAAACATGAAGTTGTGATAAATAATTTACTCCGAATATTGCTTTAATAAGATTATCTAAAATAATTAATAAATTATTAATATATATTATATTATATAAATATACTAAATTTATAATAAATATTACTTATTTGAAATAAGCTTTCGTGGTGTAATATTTATTAATTCTTCAGAAGCTTCTTCAATAATAGTTTTTAATTTATCAATAATTTTATTTGGAACTTTACTAGGTGGCAGAAGTG